CTGCGCATCGAATTTTCATTGGTTTAAACTCCTCCTTCCCTTCCTCGAAACTTTCGAAATAAAACGAAGCCTCCATAACTTTCCAGTTAGAAGACTTTAGTTCCCCCCTCGAGACTCGAGTTACCAAGGCTCCGCTGCTGTACGTGTGCTATTTTGCATATACGTCTTTTAATCTTGGGCCACTCGAAAGGAAGGAAAAAGGACAGGATGGAAAGTTGGAGCGGCGACGTATATTTCTTTGATCCTTGGTACAAACGCTACCTGTTCATTCGTTGAATTACAGGAGCAAATAAATATTAACAGCCAGTCTTTTTACACTTGGAATTACGCTCTGAACGAAGCAGTAGCCGGAAACTAAATTAGAACGTGTATAATGCCTGCGTATTTAGGTATTTGGTTAGTGTATCGCAAAGCATTGCGAATCTTTTAAAAAATGGATGTGATTCAGGTTTCGAACGTGTAATAAAATGACACGTGTTCTCTAATCCGCGTAATTTTTAGAACACGTGCACCTACGTGTATTGTTTCACGTGTGCTTAATTACACGCTTGTTATCGTAATTTTATTCGTGTATTTTTAGAAATACGAATACCCATTCGTGGGACGAGATTATTATTAATTTCCAGTTTCTCGTTGATTAAATTCTTTTTTTAGACAATCCTATTCACCAAGAACGTTTCCCGAACGTTAACTTTTCTGTGGTAACATAATTTCGAAACAATGTTAAACAAAATACAACTACAGAGTTTCGATTTTTTGAAAAAAGTTTCAACGTGAAATTATATAATTTTGAAATCCACTTCTTCAAGGAGTTGAAAATTTTTAATTTAAACCAATTAAACGAATTTTGAACGCGTAATAAGCATTCGATTACTTCGAATCGCTCTTAATATACATCTTTATAAGATCCTCGAAGAGGCCAAAACGAATATAAGAATTGGTAAGAAAATTCGTTCAAAAATTTAATAAATAAAGTCTCGATCCATTGTTATTCCATATCAATTTTTGTTTCTATTTTGATACTCGCGATCTATCTTCCTAACGATATATATAATATATTTAACACGAGCTTCTCTTCCATTGACATCATCAAGAGGTTTGTCTCGTTATATATTGATATTCAGAGGCTCGTGAATATCTTCTCTGACCGTAATTCATCGACTGGATGCTTCGTCACGTTACGATTTCCTTCTTTTTTTTTTTTTTTTATTATCGGTCGAGATACGTTCCGGAAATAGGGGTTCCTTTCATCGAAGGGAAGATCAAAGACATTGTGTGCAAGGATGAGGGAAAAATTTCGCGAATTAATTCATCGATCAGATCCTCAGATTTGTTCTCCTTGGATGAAAAAAATGTTAAAAAAAAAAAAAATCGACTCGAACTCTCTTCACGATTTATTGACCCGTCAGTTTCTCATCTGCAATTCCTATGATCGTAATTAAATGTAATTAACCTTGAACATCGTATGTGCACATTAATAGGAGGGATGAGTACGTTTTTTAAATTTAATTATTTTGCTTGCCTGAAATTTTGGAATAAAACGATATATACGCAATTATTACAATTTAAAGTGTTTAATAATTTAATATGGTTAAATCTTCTTCTTCGAGAATTCATCACGATGTGCATTCAAAACGATCGATTATTTACTGGTGTAAGTTTATATTTCACGATATTTCCTAGAATATTTCGAATCTTGAATACGCAAATTCGAGGCATTGCGTGATTCGATTCAATCTTGTTCAAGAACGATAAGGAGAAGGGAATCACGCATAGTCACGCGTTTGATTCGTTATCGAGCCACGTGATTCGCCGCGTCCTGTCCCTATGACCCACTATCCGACCTTTAATCGCGCCGACAGGATACACGTTCGATTAAAACTTTCTAGAATTATGCGCGTGCCTCCGTTTGGCTGCAATCTTTCGTTCCGGAAGTCCGTTTCGGCTCTTCTGTCGCCTCTCTTCTTTTCCACAATTTTTATTCCGTATATCTCGAAACAAATTCGTCCCGTTCAAGCTTTATATTATAAAATGTTATATATTATAAAACGTTTTCATAAAGCACAAACAATTTTTTTGATCGTTTAAGAACGAAACGACGTTAAAGAATTTTTTTATTTGAATGAAATATACGTAAAATTTGTTTTTGCATATTTTTTTTTTTTTTTTATTAAATTTGGCTGGATAAATTATTTCGAGACAAAAGGGGCAAAAAACTGAGGATTAAAAAGGTTAGAGACTTTAACAGGAACAACGTTACGTAAATCGATGATGTCGCTTAAGAGATTGATACAATATTATACGTAATATTATATTTATAATTATTTATGAAAATCGATAATCTGATGTATCGATTATATTCGATTGTGGTCAAAGGATAATCCTATTCTAGGCATCAATAACGGCGTGACTTTTCGGCCGATGCACGCATCCAGATAATACTGGACTAAGGCAAACCTGTTAAGCCGTGTGCAATCTCGTTAACGAAACGAATCCGTGTAACAAACTTACGGTCGTCCAATGCATTTGCACGAAGGAATGATGATGACGCGCTCCGATTTTTAAACTGACAGATCGGCAGATGCTTGTGTGATAACTTTCAGGGTATTTGAATATATTTAAAAGCAAAATAATTTTTGCAAATAAAATACTTACTTTATAAGAAGATAATTGTCCATAACTTTCACTCTCATATCCGCTAACTAAAAAATAATTCTTGACAACAAGATTTTATGAATTTTAGTGTTGAACGTATTTTGAGGTTAGAATATTTTGGAGAAAAATATTTGAGTTTTACTCTTATTATACACCCTTTCAAATATATTCTCATCGTTAATGATAATGATGTAGTTTTAACAAAAAAAAAAAAAAAACAAGAATTCCATGCATCAACCAGAGAATAATTCCCTTTGAAGTTCACAAGTATCTCCTCGGCCAGCATTTTTGTTCTTAGAAAGTTTTTCTCCCCATGTAAAGTCGATACAATGTGTGACTCTCTCCATGACGAGGAGGGTGCGTGTGTTGTTGATGACATTCACGGAGCGGAGGGTGCTCGAGAAGAGCGAAGTGAATCGCAAAACACCACGAAAACTCGATGAGATTTATTTAACATTTGAACAAACGTGATGTAAATACGTTAGAATCTAGCGTAGATCGTGTTTCGTTTTGATCTAGGGAATTTCTCTCTCTCTCTC